TCTATCAGTGAGGGGCTCTAAAGCAACTAACAGGGCTTCATGACCAGAGGGAGGACCCTTGTGGAGGCATGGATGAGGACTTTTGAGGAGGCAGACTTTTGTCTCCTGATATACCCCATGAGACATATATTCTCTACAAAATAAGAGGGAGCATCTGAAGGCATTGTTCTTTTGTTGGTGATAACAGACAGAAAAGAAGACCCCTATGGTCTTTATCTCCTTAGGTAGCTCTCAGGTAAAGCACTCTTTTCTCCCCTGAGGGCAGACTACAGGAACCTGCTTAACCAGATCAACCAGATAGCTACAAAAACAGTTAAGCCCAAGTTAGAGAGTAGCTCTTTTGGGTGTACTCAGTTGAAATGGGGGCTGCAGAAGTGATATGGGAGCTCCTAAGGACATAGTCTAAGAATTAGGTTTTGAACAGGGGGATGTAGGGTTCTTTCCCAGACTCAGCTGTAGAATGAAGCCAAATGCTATCTAAGACAAAGAGGGCAGCCAATCATCCTGATCTACTTAGGAAAGAAGAAGAAGGAAAAGCTGAGTATTAGGGGAAAGAGAGTTCCCAGACTCAATGCACGAGGGATTATTAGCCATCATTGCTCTCCAGGTCAATCCCACCAGAGGCAATACTAGAAGCAAGGGGTGACCTTCACTCTTGGGCCACAAGAACAGTGAAGAAAGTGTAGAGATCTGATTGTCTGTAGCACACAGCTGGAGAAGTTGATACTTAGCCACCTTTGGAGCCTCAGGGTGGGTCAGGAAGTTGCATCTTCAGCCTTCAGGTCCCACCAGGGAGTTGACCTGGCCAGAGCACCACTATAGCTTAAAGAGAAACTTTCCTTTCCACCAGCCATTTTTAGACCTCCTCCTTAGTGGATCAGATCTGAAAGGGAGAGTGTTTAAGGAAGGAGGGAGCCAAGAGTTGAGAGGGGAAAAAAAGCCTCTGTGCACTGAGGTTTTGGCTCTGCCTACATAGCACTGGCAGTCTGGTATAAGCCCCCAGCAAGCCCCTGATTTCTTGGGTTGCCTGTCTTAACAGCCATAGAGGGCTTGGAGTTTTTTTCCCCTAGATTCCTGAGGGAGAAACCCTCCTTAGCAAGAGAGAGAGAAAAAAAGTTGGCCTGAGAATTCCACTATAGCTAAGCCATGGGGTGGGGAGGTCTTCTGGAGAACAGACTCCATTGGAGTGCCAGATGATCATGACCAATTCCTAGGCAGTTCCCTACAGTTTGGCGCAAACTGGACTGACCTCAGGTGAAGAAGTGTCCTTTCACGGTCACCAAGATTGAGGAGCAGGGAAGCTCAGATGGTGGAGGTCCTCATTCCACGCTTAGATGGAAATCAAAGGCAGACTCAAGCAACAAAGGTCAGAAAAGTTTTATTTGCAGAGAATAGAAAGGAAAGGCCACATGGGGTCATGCAGCAGGACCCAGAAACCAGTGGTCCCCTGAGTCAGGTTGGAAATCAGGTTTTATAGCTTTTTATTGTCTGAGGGCAGAGTTTGGTGTGGATGGATGTTGAAGAAGAGGTGTCTGGCATGAACAGATGTTTCTTGGGAAGAAGAAGAGGCATTTTTCCCCCTGGCTAATTATCACCTTTTGGGAACCTGTGGCCCTCCCACAGTCCACCCTTCACATCTTTATTGACCCATATGGCAGGATTTTTCTCTGTTTTAGGCTAAATAATTAGCCTTATAAATATAAAATATATATATATATATATATATATATATACATAAATGTATACATGACCCATTTATTATTATCATTATTGCATTGATAAGGGATAAATACTTATAATACATAACAGGATGTTTTGAACTAGTCATTGAAGAATGGCTAGACCAAATTAGTATCCACAGTGCCTCACATACAATTTTTGTGGTCAGAACACTTAAAATCTACACTTAGCAACTTTCAGGTATGTGATACATTGTTAACTAACTACAATCAAAATGCCCCACAGTAGATCTCTTGAACCTATTCCTCCAGTCTAATTGAAATGTCTTGTCCTTCCCCAACATCTCCCAAATCTTCTTCCCACTTCTTGACTACCTGCTCCCATGAGGTTGACTTTTGTAGATTTCACATATAAGTGTGATTATCCAGGGTCTTCCTGTGCTTCGTTTATTTCACTGAGAATAACATCCACCAGTTCACCCCTGTTATCACAAATGACAGCATTCTCTTCTTTTTAAGAATGAACAATGAGTATATACACATATATAACTACAAATATGTATACAGTACAATTTATCCATTCACCCATCAATTGACACTTTGTTTCTACAACTTGGCTTTTCTGAATAATGCTGTAAAGAAAATGGAAGTGCAAGTATCTCTTCAAGATCCTGATATGTCTGAGAAGAGTTTATACAAAATATATAAGGAACTCATACAACTGAATAGCAAATACTAATAATAACCTGGCTAAAAATTTGTCTAAGGACTTGAATAGATACTTGTCATACAAATGACCAGTGGGTATATGAAAAGATACTCAACATCACAAATCATCAGGTAAATTCAAATTAAAATCACAATTAGATATCACCTCACACCAGTTAGGATGGTTATTATCAAAAAGAAAACCTAAAGATAACAATTGTTGGCAAGGATAAGGAAAATTGGAACTCTTCAGTGTTGCCAATGAGAATGTGAAATGATGTTGCTATGGAAAACAGTATGGAGATTCCTCAAAAAATTGAAAAGAGGACTGTCATATGATTCAATCAAACACCTTCATTTTTGATTGACCTGATATGTAGCACATATGGAAATCAAACCCAGAAGACAGAGAATACAAGGCCCTGAAATTTATGGAAATCTTGGAAAGAGGAACACATCTTCCATAAGGCAAAATAGTGATTTTTGGTGCAACTTTTCTAGATCTCATGGGGTAGCAAGACCCCATTTGCAATCTGGGTGATATGGGTGTGATAAAGTTAACTCTAAGTTACTTCTGGCATATTGTGATTCTGCAGTTTTTGGCTTTCTTTAGTACAATTAAACTTATGTAGAATTAAAAGCTCACTTTGAAATAGATGAATGCCTAAGAAGAAATATAAAGTTGTATATTTTCACAAACATCATGCCACCACTTTACTGATTGATTCTTTCATTGGTTCAATTAAATTGTATGGCTTTGTGCTACAGTGCTAAGAAGGTAAGCCTCACAGGAAACAGACACACTAAATGGGGATAATTTGAGGAGAATTTAAACAGATGTTCTACAAACTTATGGTATAAGGGTACCACAGAGGTTTCTGCAGTACACTGAGCTAATTATGGCAGGGGTACTGCCAATGTTACATCCAGCAGAATAAGATAAAGTCATAATTACCAAAACCCTATGGAGGAGGGCGACCTTTGTAAAGAGGGCCACCTAATAAGAGTTATGGCCCTCAACTAAGGCACACAGCCAGCCTGTGACAAACTCACTTGCATGTGGAATCACAAAAAAATCAAACTCATAAAAATAGAATAGGACAGTGATGATTAGGGCTGTGAGGTAGGGGAAATGAGATGTTGATCAAAGGATAAAAACTTTTAGCTATAAGATAACTGGAAATATATGACATGAGTGGTGATGGATGTGTTTATTTAATTGTGATAATTATTACACTATATATATATATATAATCATGTGTTATACACTGTGAATATATGTAATTTTCATTATGTCACATATCTTAAAATGAAAATTAAAATAAATAAATAAATAAATAAACAAAAGGTGAAATGTGAAGCTACTCTATGATCCAAGCTTTCTACTACCCATGAGAAATGAAATCATGTACCCATACCAAGACTTGCACATGAATATCCATAGAAGCTTTGGCTTTCATAGCAAAATCTGGAAATGATAAATGTCCATCAACAGATAAACATAGATATACATTTATATAGTGTAACCAGCAATAAAAAAATGAACAACTGATATATATCACAGCATGGGTGAATCCCAAATAATCAGGCTGAGTGAAAGAAACCCAATAAGAAAGAATATATCACGTGCTAGTCCACTCACATAATTCCAAGAAAATACAAACTAATCTATACCATCAGTAGAAAAGTGGTGGCCTAGAGACAAGGCAGTAGAGGAGGAGGATCAGAAGGGAAATATTACAAAAGGCATGAAGAATTGTTAGTAGGAACAAATTATGTCTTTATTTCTAGTTTATGTTTTCAAAAAAGTTCACATATGTCAAAACTTCTCAGATTGTACACTTTAGTTTTTATAGTTTATTATATGTCATTTATACCTCAATAAAGATTTTTTAAATAGTGATAATTATTTTAAATGATCTTGATGTAATATCATTTAGCATTTAAAAACTTATATCATTATAAAAAAGCAGGATACCTAATTATAAGATTTTGTTTATCTCCTTAAGCATACCCTGAGTTTGATCATTATACTTTGTACATGTATGGAATTATCACACTGTACACACTGTAGCCCATAAATTTGTACAACTTAAATAATAATTAAGAAAAATAATATGAAGTTTAAAAATACATAAAACTATTAAGCAACAAACTTGAGCACAGACAAAAATTTAAGAAACACACAGATTGTCTATGAGAGGCAGGGCTTGATTGTAACTTTGCCTTCCTTGTCATTTTTAATCTTTAACAAATTTTTTACACTTTGTATTTTAGTTTATATAGTAACATAAAAACTGAACAACAAAAATTTCATTCATTTGAAAATGAAAAGGTGTATAGTTTTCAGGCTTCCATTAGCACTTTTGGAGAACCCAGGTTGGATAACAGTGCTGTATAGATGAGGAAAATTATCAGACAGGAATGGACTGTCAGTTCATCCCCAGAAGAGTACTGCCAAGTCAGATGCCTTGGGGTGTTCAGCCTAGCATATCTATCTAGAGCACGGCATGCCCCAGACCCAAGATCTTTGCAAGGAGCATAGGCTTAATCTCCCTTTCTTTGTTCTCTGACGGCCAGCATCAGGCACTACCACCAAGAGAAGTACCCACCATGAAGCCTCTCCTCATAGTGTTTATCTTTCTCTTCTTTTGGGATCTGGTGTTGGCAGGTAAGATGGGGATCTTCTTAAGGGAGAAGCTTCATCTAGAAATCAACTACTGTAGGCAACCTTACCAGTGTACTCCTCCAAGGACGCTTTAATTTTCAAAGTGGAAAAGGCATCAGTCAGCTTTGCTGTCAGCTAGACCTGAGCTTGGATCTTGGCTCTCCAAGTTGTTAGCTGAACAAAGCTAAGCTCCTCTGAGACTATTTCTTCACTTACAAAATGGAAATAATCATACCAACGACAAGGACTTGCAAGGATTAAATGGGATAGTGTATAGAATGTGCCTCACATAATGGGAAAATGCCTAGCTCATGGGCATTTATATTTTCACTAGTAATCCATTATATATTCATTAGTAATGTCCCACCAGGATTTGCCTCCATTGTTTTGTCTCTAATTCAAGGACATAGTTAGGTATTACAGTCAAAACCAGCAAACAGTGATGAGACAAGTTATTAGGATTTCTAAGATACTAAAATTACTTAGAGTTTGTTTAATATTTGTAGATCCCTTAGGTATAGAAGGAGACTGGTTTGAAACTGCTTGTTTCAAGAGAATCACTGAGCTTTCTATGATAGAAGAAATTTCTGATCCAACTAGGTAGCAGCTAAGGAGACATGTGCAACAGCATATAATCTCATCTATATCCTTTTCTGACTTTAGAAATCTCATCTCGAGTACTCTCTTCACTGAATCAGTCCAAATCCTTACAATGTAGAGACTCAACTAATTTTCTAGCCTCCCTGAAGTGTTTTCTAGGCAGATGAACCAGATTTTTAGATCATGTGACTCAGTAGTCTAAATTTTATAAATAGGACACAAGCTTCTTGAAAGTATGGAGGGGATCAATTCCTCTATGGTTTTTGGCAATTCACTCATGGCCTCCAGACAAATTTAGTCTATAATATTCCCTTCTAGTGCCTTACACATTTTCATAGCTTGTCATTGCCATAGGAATTTCTTATCTTGTTATATAAACCATTATGCTTCAGCTTCCCAAAAGTATTATACTGTATCCTCTTGAACTTTCATCTTGCCAATTGAATACCTCAATGCATAATGTGAAAGTGCCTGGCTCATGGGAGCTATCATTGTATTTTCATTAGTAGTATCCCATCCTGAAGACTGGCATTCATTCCTTACTTAATTACTAAATATTTAATTATTCACTCATTTTTTAATTCATTCTCAAACCCCACTCTTATCAATAGACAGAATCTTAACTTCGGAATTTTCAGTCTGTAGGACAGCCTTTTTTCCTGTTGGATATAATTATCCAACCACGGCATCATGACTTGGAGAGGGTATGTATTGGCTCAAAACTTCTATGGATGAGCAAATATTGGTTTTATTTTTATTTTAACACCTTCTTTCATTTGAAAATAGAGAAATATTCATATTTAATCATTCTAAGGAGTAACTAAAAGCTTAACTTAAAGGCATTGAGCTACAGTAAGATTTCCCAAATCTTCGGAATTGACTTCACCCTCCTTAAACTGATAAGAGCATTCTATGTTGCAAATACTTCATGGCACTTGTCATGTTTTTTCCTCTCAGAAACACTTTGTGTTTCCTCTCTTTTTGTCTAAGATGAAAATTAAGTGAGGTTAAGATCCAAAGAGACCACCCACAGAGTGGGAGAAAATATTTGCCAGCTATACATCAAAGGACTAATAGCCAGAATATACAGGCAGCTCAAAAAACTAAACTCTCCCAAAATCAATGAACCAATAAAAAAAAGGAGGCAACTGAACTAAACAGAACTTTTTCAAAAGAAGAAATTCAAATGGCCAAAAAACACATGAAAAAATGCTCACCATCTCTAATTATAAAGGAAATGCAAATCAAAACCACACTAAGATTCCATCTCACCCTTGTTAGAATAGCTATCATCCGCGAGAGCACACAAGGGAGGGGTGAGGATAGGTAAGACACCTAAAAAACTAGCTAGCATTTGTTGCCCTTAATGCAGAGAAACTAAAGCAGATACCTTAAAAGCAACTGAGGCCAATAGGAAAAGGGGAACAGGTACTAGAGAAAAGGTTAGATCAAAAGGAATTAACCTAGAAGGTAACACCCACGCACAGGAAATCAATGTGAGTCAATGCCCTGTATAGCTATCCTTATCTCAACCAGCAAAACCCCTTGTTCCTTCCTATTAATGCTTATACTGTCTCTACAACAAAATTAGAGATAAGGGGAAAATAGTTTCTGCTGGGTATTGGGGGGGGGGAGCGGGAGGGGGTGGAGTGGGTGGTAAGGGAGGGGGTGGGGGCAGGGGGGAGAAATGAACCAAGCCTTGTATGCACATATGAATAATAAAAGAAAAAAAAAAAAAAAGAATAGCTATCATCAAAAACACCAACAACAACAGGTGTCGGCAAGGATGTGGGGGAAAAGGAACCCTCATACACTGCTGGTGGGAATGCAAGCTAGTACAACCACTCTGGAAAACAATATGGAGGCTTCTTAAAAAACATACATCTGCCATATGAGCCAGCAATTCCACTCCTAGGGATATACCCAAAGGAATGCAACTCAGGTTACTGCAAAGGCACCTGCACACCCATGTTTTTTGCAGCCCTATTCACAAAATAGCCAAGCTATGGCAACAGCCAAGATGCCCCACCACTGACAAATGTATTAAGAAAAATGTGGTATCTATACACAATGGAATTTTATGCAGCCATGAAGAAGAATGAAATCTTAGCATTTGCAAGTAAATGGACTGAACTCAAGAACATCATCCTGAATGAGGTTAGCCAGGCTCAGAAGACCAAAACTCGTATGTTTTCTTTCATATGTGGACTTTAGATCTAGGGCAAATACAGCAATGTTGTTGGACTTGGTCACATGCTAAGGGGAGAGCACATATGGAAGGAATTGGGATAAGTAGGAAACCCAAAACTTGAAAATGTCTGATATTCCCACTGCAGAGGAGCTAATACAGAAACCTTAAAGCAACAGAGGTCAGTATGGGAAGGTGACCAGGAAGTAGTGAAGAGGTCAGGTAGAGACAAATCAATTCTGGTTGTAACACATTTGTACATGAAAGCAATGCTAGGAATCTGTCTGTATAGCTGTCTTTATCTCAACTAGCAAAAATGCTTTGTCTTTCTTATTATTGATTATGTCTTCTCTTCAACAAATTTGGAGAAAAGGACAAAACAGGTTCTGCCTGGAAGCCAGGGGGTTGAAGGGGAGAGGAAGGAGGCGGGGGTGGGGGGCAGAGGGGAGAAATGACCCAAATAATGTATGCACATATGAATACATGAATAAAGAAAAAAATCTATATCATACTCAATACTGTACCTTAACAGTCCCTATTCACAGGATTTATAGAAACTGATTTGAGAATAAATGAGTAAAGAATCAAATATTTAATAATTAAATGAGTATATGGATTGTATTAACTGAATAATTCAAACATACTTCTAAGTTACTGGTTGTCTTAACTCAAACTGCCATAATGAAATACCACAGACTATATGGCTTAAACAAAAGTTATATTCTCACAATTCTGGAAACTTGGAAATCTACAATCAAAGTGCTTGCTGATTCAACTTATGATGAGGGGACTCTTCCTGGCTTGGAAACAGCCATCTTCTCACTGTGTCCTCTACCAGTAAGGGCATCAATCCTGTTGGATTAGGCTGCCTGTCTCATTGGATTAGGTTCTACCATTATGACCTCATTTTACTTAAACTATCTCATAAAGGCTATATCTTCAAGTACATTCACATTGGGAGTTAGGTTTTTAATGACTGACTATTGGGCCAACACAATTCAGTAGATAGGAATGGACAATTCAGTCCATTGATTTTGTTTGCAATTTCAAAATAAATCATCATGACCAATTCTCCTTGGAATCCAGATAGACAAAAATTAAAAGACTTGTCATTCGATACATCTGTAGTGAATTGTCTCTCCACTCATTTTCCAGGTTTGAACCCATTATCATCAGTATTGTATAAGAAATGCTATGGAAATGGTATCTGCAGACTTGAGTGCTATGGAAGTGAAATGCTAGTTGCCTACTGTATGTTTGACCTGGAGTGCTGTATCAAAGGAAACCCTGCACCCTGATATGAGATACCGATAAATGCCAGTTAACTTGAAGAGTCTCATTTCCTCCATTTTTTTACAAAGCCAGGGAACTTGGATAAACTATGACATATTGATGTACCCATGATTATTAGTTTCTCCTATTTCCTTCTAAGCCACCCACCAGAATCTTATGGCACTGGATTTAAAAGGTAAGCTGAAGCCTTCTTGAACTTCTCATTTAAATAACTTTGAATATATTTTCTCTTTTCAAATTGGGATACAATGCTCTCCTTGGTGGTCATTCCTCTCTGTAATCATAGAAAGGATGTTAATTATTCAAAGAGGCTTCAATGAAAACATCTTTTTACACCTAGGTCCTGTCCTACCATATGGAGAGGAGCCGATCTTCCTTGGCCTTCTGACAGTCTGGTGCATCTCTCACATAGACCACACAGGCAAGGCTTAAGTGCCGGCTCACATGATTCTGGACTCAGTCTGAACCTGAAGTTCTTCTTAAAAGAGAGGGAAAGACTCCATCTTGTAATGGGCTGTCATGAGGTCATTTCTCATCCACTCTCCTAGTTTCAGTTAAGTGCAGGACTTTCCAACTCAGCCCTTTAGCGCTCAGCTCTAAGCTGTAAAACTGCCTTGTTATAGTTTAAGGCCAGCTTCTCTGTGGCAAAGAAGCCCACCACCTCCACTGCCCATCCTTGGATGAATGTCCTCCTGTGGGCCTGGGCGCTAACACCATGCAGATCTTGCTTTGCTACATGTATAAGTAATAAAGTGTCTAAATCCATCTGGACTTGTTTTCTTTACCAGCCAATCTTATGAAGATATCACAAGGAAACCTAGAAAGTTCTGTCATGGGCTGGTGGCCTTGCTGGCCTCTGCACTGCTCTGAGCTTCTAACTGGCTGCTCCACACCATCAACCCACATAGAGGTACACAATGGGTTAGTTCCACATGTGCTGTTCGAGATGAAAAGTAGGTTGGCAGAGGAGAGTGGATTCCAATTGTAGACCACTTTTCTTTAGTCTCAGTGCTGGGTGTATATTGGATTCTCTAGTGATTCTGAGAGGATGGGGTTATTCAAATAGCCAATTACTGATCTAGTACAGGGCTGAAGTAACAATGGCTAAGTTCCCAGGCTGAAAATGAGAGTAGTGTCTGCCCACTCAGTCACTGCACCTGGAAAGAGATGAAAGGAAAACTGTGAGTGAGAAAGAATGAGGAGTTCTGTACTCCCAGGCAATGTTGAGCAAATGTGGTGTTGGTATCATTAGGGAGAAAGATACTAAAATTCCAGTACAGTGAGTCCTCCTCTCAAAAGCCAAAGTCTCCTGCGGTGTTTTTAGGGGATGTATAGTAAATGGAATGGGACCAGAGGTGGCCTGGAATAGTGACCCTAATTACTGAGTAGGCAGAGTAAAGAATACATTCAGACAGGGCCCAGAAAAATGGTTATACTGTGAGGAAGGCAGGAATATATGGCCTCATGACATCCCAGACAGCCTGAGTTGGTCTGTTTTTCATTATTGTAACATAATACCTAAACCTGGGTTGCTTTATAAAGAAAAGAAGTTTGTTTAGCTCACACTTTTAGAAGCTGATCATGTGGCCCTATCCATGTGGCCTCTGGTAAGGGCCTAACAGCAGATGACATTATACCAGGAATATGTGTGGGAGCAAGAGATCTATCAGACAAGAAGTCAGAAAGTAAGTCAAGGGTCCAGACCACTCTTATTACAACTCATTTTCATGAGAACTGCCTATATCCCTTTGAGAGCAGAGTCTTCAATGACCTAACAATCTCCCACTAAGTCCCACCTCTTAAAAGTCCCAGTACATCCAATGACTAAAGCCTCCAACACAAACCACATCCAAACTATAGCACAGCATTAGGCTTGCTTCTCATTTAACTCTTCTACAGTGTATGCAAATTCTCTGCTCACACAGATAAAGAAATCCGAGAATAATCCTGCCTACAGATAATCTGAAGAACAAAATGCAGTGACACTGCTAAAGACCAATTAGAGAGTTGAACCCTAAACCAGAGAGACTGAGTTCTCTCTGTTGGAAGAATCAGTTCTCTGAAATCTGGTTAAGTCCTTCATGGACAAGACTTTCCACTACTACAAGACAGATATGCCAATCCTGCACCACTTCTCCTTACTTTTCCACAAACTTTTAGATTCATGGACTTTGTTGGGAAATGAACTGTTAAAACAACGGAACTGGAAACTCCTTTATTACTTTCAGAGAAAGTGTATATGTTACATGAGCATCCTATAGCTCTGCTATGCTTCTTTAAATGTAGACCTGAAACAGAAATTGACTAACTTTGGTTGATCTCTATACATTGACACATCCAAAAGACATTCTATTCCAAGATCCAAAGCCTTCTTAAGAACAATGTATTAGCTTAGCTACTCAGGAGCAGAGATCAGGAGGATTGTGGTTCAAAGCCAGCCCTGGGCAAATAGTTCACAAGACCGTATCTCAAAAAAACTCATCACAAAAAAGGATTCAAGTGGTAAGAGTGCCTGCCCTGAGTTCAAATCCAATGCAACCAAAAAAAAAAAAAGATATATTAACAGACCAGGCATAGTGGCTCAGGCCTGTAACCCGAGCTACTTGGTAGACAGAAATCTAAAAGGATCATAGTTCAAGGAAAGCCCAGACAAAATATTCAGAAGACCCCCTCAACTAATGGTAGGGCATGCTGATGAGCACCTGTTGACCCAGCTGTGCAATATGAGGAATACTGTTCAAGCCACCCAAGCATAAGGCAAGGCAAGACTCTATCTTAAAAATAGTCAATGCAAGAAGGGCTGGCACCATGGCTCAAGAAGTAGAGTGCCTGTCTAGCAAGCATGAGGTTCTGAGTCCAAAAGAAAGTAATTTACCAAATCTCTCAGTAAGGCAGCAAGATGGGGAAGGAGTTTGTCACAATATAAAATAAACTTTCCTCAAACTTCTCGCTGGATCTCAGTCCTTGACATCTCACTCTTCCAGTGGCAGAAAGTGATGTTTAAAATTTGTCTGAGAGTTTAGAATTTGTAATAAAGATTCCAAAAAGCCTCAAGGGCAAGGAAAAAATTCCATATTCAGGGAAACTTATTTTTATTTAGTAAAGCATCTATTTTTCCAGTTTTATTAAGGTATAATTGACAAGTAAAAATGCATATTCAAAGTATAAAATATGACATTTAAGAATGAGAGAACTTCAAATTTGTTCTCTTATCAAATTTTAAATAAACTATGTAGTAATGTCAACTATAATCATTTGGCTTATACCTAGAAGTTTATACACTTTGGCCAATATCTTCTCATTAATCCACCTCCCAACCCCTAGACCTCACCATTCTGCAATCTGCTTCTGTGAAGGGGACTGGTGCTGTCATGAAAGAGATCTTCTGACCAGTGAGAACACAGCAAAAGTCACTGTCTATGAACCAGAAAGTTGACACTCACTGGACATCATATCTGATGTTGGATTTCTCAGCCTCTAGAACTATGAGAAATATCTGCTGTATAGAAGCCACCCTGTCTAAGGCATTTTGATCTGGCAGCCCAAGTGGACAAAGGTAATGATCTGTTTTCTGGGGCTTTGTTGGAAGACCCTGAAGTAACTGCCCCTCTCTAGGTTAGCCAACTAATAAACAGTAAGTAAACAACATGCCCTCAAGCATATTTTTAAAATACAACCAACTAATCCACAAGTACACACTTCAGCCACCTCCTTTGTCAGGATCTCACACTTCAGACCACTATCTACCCTCCTTAATCACCTCATCCAGGCAATTAAGGATAGCCACTATGCTCCAGAGCCAACTGAAATTACTCAAAGTAGCCAATCCAAAACTACCTCATTGCTCCTTCCCATGTAAAACACAGTAAGAAGTTTTGACCATATTCTCTCTTTCTCCCTCTGCTTCCATATTAGTTGCAATGCTTCCCTGTGTACTCCTTCACAATGTGAAATGCCCGCCTTTTATTGGGAACTGTGAGTAATAAAACCTTTTCAATGGCAATCACATACCTGTGTTGGCTTCACTATAACTCAAATTTTATAGCACTGAAGACTGGAGGATTCACTGAGGGATCTGAAAGATGCAACCAGGCATTTGTTATTCCTGGAGGCTCCTCAGCAGAATTTCCTGCCTCATCTTTGTTATAATCCAGTTCAGCAAACTTGAAGAGAGGTCACTGAAAAAAATCCAAACTGAAAAGAAAAAGGAAAGTAAAAGAGTAAACATAGCTTTGGAGATATATATATAGATATAGATAGATACAGATATGGATATATATATAGATATAGATGGATATAGATATGGATATATATATAGATCTATAGATATATATCTAGAGAGAGAGAGAGAGAGAGAGAGAACTTTTGGAATACCAGAAAATGAATCAGGAAGAAAAGTTAAATAAAGCTGAAACAAAGCCAGGCATCAGTGGCTCATGCCTATAATCCTAGCTATTCAGGAAGCAGAGATCAGGAGCATCACAATTCAAAGCCAGCCTGGGCAATCACAAAACACTGGGCTGGTGAAGTGGCTCAAGGTGAAAGCCCTGAGTTCAAGCCCCAGTACAGCAAAAAAAAAAAAAAAAAAAACTCAAAGAAATAATCACTGAAAAATTCCTAAACCTGGAAAGAAAATAGACAACCAGATCCAGGACACTAAACAAGATGAATTGAAATTAACCTACCTGAGACATAATATAATCAAATTTCAAAAGCCAAAGTCATACAGTTTTAAAAGCAGAAAGAAAAAAAGCAACTTGTTGCACACACCCCCAAAAGACTACCATTTGAGTTTTCAACAGAAACCTTGCAGGCCAAAAAGGGTTTGGATGACATATGCTGAGTGCTGAAAGAAGAGAAACTGTCAATGAACAATACTGTACCTTGGAAGACTGTCCTTAAGAACTGAAAAGGAGATACTTCCTCAGACAAACAAAAACTGACAGAGTTTATCCCTGCTAGACCCACTTTGCAAGAAATGTTAAAGGAAGTTCTTCAAGTTGAAATGAAAGGACATTAAACAGCAGCATAAGTATGAAACTCATTGGTAAAGGTAAATACATAGGCAAAAAACAGAATATTATGGGTAGATTAAGAAAATGTGGTCTATATGCACAATGGAGTATTATTTGGCTATAAAGAAGAATGAAATTATGTTGTTTGCAGGTAAATGGATGGAACTGGAGATCATCAGGTTACTCAAAGTAAGCCAGGTTCAGAAAGACAAAGTTCACACATTTCCTCTCATATGTGGAAGCTAAACCTAAAAGATAAATACATACATAAATACATACGTGATCATATGTTCAGATACATTCTCCCAATATTTATAAATGTTGGGACTGTGCAAGGAGTAGGAGGAGGTGGGAGAGGAAAAGAGAATGACAGTGAATAATGTTGAAATGTATTGCATCTGTGTGTAACGATGGTATAATGAAACATACTAAAAGCTATTGAAAATGGGGGATAATGAACGAGGTTAGTCTGATTAAATTAAGATATAGTCATGTGTGAAATACCACAGTGAACCCCTTTGAACAATGAATATACACTAACAAAATGAAGGACAGGAATATAAAACAAGTCCAATTCAGGTGTGGGCTTTAGTGGGAGGAAGTATGGTGAATGAAGAGGAAAAAAGAGAGAATATGGTCAATGTACTTAACATGCTTGTATGAAAATAAAACAATGAATCCTGTTAAAATTGTTTTAAGAAGGGGGGAGGAGGATTAGGGAGAATGATGCAGGGGGTGAATCTAGCCATGATACGTTATAAACATATAAGGAAATATCACAATGAAATCCCCCTGTACAACTAATATATGCTAATAAAATTTTTTAAAAACAGAATATTGTACTGCTATAACAATGGTAGGAAAATTAATTTAATAATACTATAAAAGTTAATAAAAGAACAATTATAACTAAATTATGTTGATGGAAACAATATATATACATGCAAATTGCAATATCAATAGTATATAATGAAGAGAGATAAAAGTGGAGAGTTCTTACATTCAAAGGCAGTTAAAATGTTATCAACTTAAAATAGACTACTATAATGGGTGATAGTTTATCTAACTCATTTGGTAAACACAAAGAAAATAGCTATAGAAGTTACATAAGAGAAAAACAGAAAGGAATAATATTCTATCAAAACAAAGAGACAATGAATCATAAAAGAAGATGGCAAACAAGAACAAGACAAATGAACTACAAGACTAACAAAATGCCATAGTAAATCCTTCACTATTAATAACTACTTAAATGTAAGTGTATCAAATCCTCAATAAATGATAAGAGGCCTAGTGAAACTCATATCACAAATATCTGAGGTAGAAAAACTAAGCACAGTCTATTTTAGTCCACTGTATCCCACAAATACATATAAACCAAACAAGTTCACTACAGTCAACATTAAAAAAGAAGAAAAGGAAAAGCCCTGTTTATTGGTTGTAATAGGTGAGAAACTGCCCATGTTAACTATTCTCCCACCTGAGCAGGAAACTCAGGATAAAGGTAGCTGATGGCAGAACTGGTATCAAAATCATTGCAAAATGACTTGGCCATTTGTCTAACAATATTTGTCCCTTTACTGGAAGAACCAAAACACTTAGTTCTGTCTCAGGATACAATCACTGCAGGATGGATGTTTCACCCATCACAACAGCTAGTGTTTGTTTAAAGCTCCAAGCTTTGATAGTGTTCCCTCCTAGAAGCTTTCCATCAAAAGCAATCTAGGCTTCCTTTCCCGATATATTGGAAGCAACATGTCTCTCCTGCAGCCTTATTCTCCCAATAGCCTGTTTAAAGAAGGGCGTTGAATCATTATTAGTTGAATTTTAACCTTGCCTATAATGAGAAGAGTCAATAAAACTTAAGAATAAAAAGAAGAATAGTAGAATAATTCTCTGGTATTGTAAACTAGAACATATTCAACATCTCAATTTAAATGTTTTCAATATGACTTTAACTTCATTATTTTCGACATCAAATGATGAACGTTCCTTAAGAGAGTCCCAAGTAGACAAAGTTAGAAAATTCCAAGAAAAATGGAAAGTCTTGAATAGGCACCTCACAAATAAGGATATCTAGCCATTCAATAAATACGTGAAACAGCACTCATCAGTCATCAGTGAAATACAAATTCAATCACCCTATATCATCATTATCCAAACCCCAGAAATTAAAAATCAGAAAACACAAGTTGTAGACCCAGATGAAAAGTGACAGGAACTCTCAGACAATATGGGGAGGTTATGTAAATTCATACAACAAATTTAGAAGATAGGTGTGGAATTACTAGATCTCAGACTATACAAACATCTTCTAAAAGTCCACTTCTGCATTTATACCCACAGAAATGCCTGCTTACCCATTCACTACAATACTCTCAATTTATGAAAGTCCAAAGTAGAAACTACAGATATGATCATATGCCCACACTAGCACATTCAAATGTATAAGCTCCCTTATAATGCTGCACCCCATGAGGATGATAGACCACAATTACAAGAAATGATAAGAATAAATTTCATGAAAATAATGTAAAATAGAAGAAGTCAGACACAAAGAAGTACCTACAGAAACTGGGTGTCCAGCTCAGTGGTGGAGCACTTACCTAGCATGCTTGAGGACCTGGGTTTCACATGCAGTATAATAAAAATTTAAATTTTGAAAAGACAAGTACCTACTGAATAATTCCATTGATATAAAGTTGAAAACAGGTGCCAGGACTCTTCTTTTAGAAGTCTGGGTAGAGACCATCCTTTGTGGACTAATGGCTGGTATGGCACCTGGAATAGTGTAGTATTATTTTCCTGACTCACGTGCTAATTACACAAGTACATGAAGTTTATGAAACTTGTCAAAATGTTTATTTATGATTTTATACACTTTACTAATTGTAAGTTGTGCTTCAAAAAACATTCTTCTTATACTTTTGATAAGTAATAAATTAATAAAAAGAAAAATGCTAAGACAGGGAATTTAATTAGAAAAGTATTTCCATAGCAAAGCCAATGAAGGGAAACACAATACACACAGAAACATTGATTGACTAAAGCCATCATTTTAATAGGGTGGTGCAGTTGAAAGGATCTGGGTTCCAAGAGGAAATCAGCATGAGCCTCTGGATACTCACAACTACTTCCCCACCAGAACAGGTAAATCCTTTTTGTTTATGCAGCACAGATATATGGACTCACAGAAAGTATGGTATATTTCGCTTCCCGAACATTTTACCTTGCAAATACCTTTTGTTCGCCAACATGAAGAAAAGGCTCGTCGTATGTAACTATTTGGTCCACTTTTAACTGCCAACAGAAACAAAAGTTGATGCACAGTTAGTGTCCTGAGGTGTGACCTAGAGACATCCTTCAAAACTTTTTAATAATAAATTCAATATAACCCAAGATAGCCCACACATCTTATTGCTGGATACCTCCTTTCTGATTGCTTCTCATTTTTCAGAGATCTTATTATGAGACCATTAGCTCCCATGGTCCACAATTATATGAATCATTAATCAGTCACATGGAGGTCACAGAGCCCAGCAGATTCAGCTTACAACGGTTCCTATGGAAAGATCATTCAGATGTTGGAGAAGCCCCGAGAGTCTGTATGGCCCCATACCAGGAGACATGCACAGTCTGATTTAGCTACTCAAGGCAATTTACAATTATCAAATTATGGGCATGAAGAAAAAAAGGTCACTGAACTAGAATTTTGGAAGCCCATGGCTCTAGCACTGTATTCCCCAATAATATTCTGTATGAAGTATGCCAAGAGCCTTACTGCCTGCTCTAGCTTAATCACAAGTGTGAAATGGTTTGAAATATCTGAAACACATTCCTAAATCTCTTCCTACTCATTCCTAGACATTAAGACCTAGGTACCTCTGTAAGCCAAGGAGTAAAGGAGGGGTAATAGACAGTTTATGCAGGTGAAGGTGGCCCTGAGTCACCCCAGTTTTGTATGCTAAGACTTATCATTATCTCTACCAGTTGCTCCAATGGAACCATGGATTGGGCCCTTGATGCAAAGGTAACCAATTTGTAAAAATGATTAATGTGGTATAACTAAAGGCAAACTTGTCTGCCATGTGCTCACCAGCCCTAGGGCACCTGTCTGGGGACAAAGGTGTACAGTGGAGACACCGTGCAAAGTATCCAGAGATCCTACCACATAAAACAGCAGTGTGTCAATATGATCCTCATTGACATCCTTCTTTTAAATCCTTCACACATGGCTCTTAAGTGATATTTTTTAATATGAAGGTTTGAGGCAGGGGGTAGGAGCTTTCTGCAGACCCCAGAAAACCACAAGCAAAGCAATTTTGAGAACCTCCATCCTAGTAATTTAAGTGGACTCTTAGTATTGTCAAGTTACTTGCTTCTGTCCAGAGAACAGAAATTCTGACTCCTCAAACTGGTGCACATTTTCTGTAAATTAATCAATTTAATAAATTTTAACAACTAGCTCTCTTTGTATATTCTGCTCCACATAATATTTGCCTTGGCTTTTAAATGAGCGAAAAATTACACAGATAGAGGACTTGGTGAAGTAATACGAGCCCTCAAAAAATAGCCTCCCTCCCACTCTGAGTCCTACCTGAGACCTGTAAAGTTCTCATCATTCAGCTCTGCCCCTTTTCTGCTAATATCAGTCCAACCTTCCCCACAAATTTCACAGACTTTCCAGAAAAAATCCAGAGCAAGCTTCTTCTCGGAAGAGAGTCACTCCTGTTGCTGTCCTTGGTGATAGCCCAGAACATCTACTTCTGCTCATGTCCCTCCCTGCTTCAGCTTCCCTGACTCAGTCCTCTTTTGTCTCACTCTTGTAGAACTTCACACCCCTTTTCACTTTGCTGTTCCTAATTTCACTGGCAAAGGAATCCATTTTACCTGGTGGAACATAGGAGAGCATGACAAGCAGTACAAGGACCAACAGTAGGCTCCTCATGGCCAACCCAACCATCAAAGAGGCAGCTGAGGTGCAGGGAAAAGTCACTCTATATGTAGCTTTTGAGAGGTAGGGAGCTGCATGGCTAGTGAACCTTTTGGAACAAGAACATCTGCTTGCTCCATTGAGCAGTTCAATAAATGAAAGGTTTGACTTTGAACATGACATCTTCATCTTCACTACTAAAATACATTTTCTGGGTGCCACTTGTGTGCTAGAAACTGAATTTATGCTATGTAAACAGCCCCAGTTCTAGTAGAATGCTGCATATATATCTTTATATCTTCATTGTACACTCATTTAATAAAATCCTATCTTGGGCACAAAGTCATAAGACTACTTCATGTAGTTGGTAGTGTCTATGATGGTTGTTTTCAATCTCAAACACACACAAAACTCAGGTAGGTATTGTTCTCCCCACCTTAAAACAAAGAATGTGAGTCTTCAGAGGAATAAATAACTTTCCCAAGTTCACATAAGAGAACCCAAGTCTAGTGCATTCCCTTTAGGTGCATTTTTCTAAAGAGAAAAATAAGAGCTACACAGAGAGCATGGACAGCCCATATAATACCACTAACATGAGTCCGGACAGCACACTGAGTCTATGGCCCCTACTGAGCACTGCCATGTTTAGGGCACATACAGGGCAGTGTGAAGTATGCACAGAACGTATGTCAAAACCTTCCTTTGAGGGACTAAAGATCAACAGTGATTGTCAGTTTTCAAAGTGTTTAATTTTTACAATTCTATCTGATGTTGTATAAGTAATACAGAACCTAGAATGAGAAAGCCTGAGCTCTGTTCTGTAATCTGTATGCACTAACTTGATGAGCTTTGAATAATGCACTTAGTTCACCTTTCTGAATACCAGAGTTCTCATCTGTAAAGCAGTCCTACCTATATCAAAGACTCATTTTGAGATTAAGTGAGGAAATTCTTGTGAAAATTTTATGATGTGTACATTTAAGACCCATATAACATAAGACATTTAAAACTAGAGGTGATGTTCCTCCAACTAGATAGCAAAGAGTCAGCACTGGAAACCAATTCTTCCATCACTTCACTCTGTCCTGCACTTTATTTACCATGTTAAGATAGATGATAGATAAGTAGGTGGTAGATAAAGATAGATAGATAGATAGATAGATAGATAGATAGATAGATAGATAGATAGATCACTTCAGTGGGCTCTTATTTTCCAACTTCAAGATGTGATCTAGTTTAGAGGTCTTTGAAGGACTCATAAAAGAAATGCAGAGCATAAAATAGGAAATAAATAAGAAAGAATGGAAGACATGAGCTTGGAAGAGCCTAAAGGGAAATGATCAAGTAATCACAAGTGCTCCAAGGGACACTCTTAAGGACAATTTTCCAGCATTATGCTCAGTCAGATTTGCTTTCTGCATATGGCTCTGATCTCCCCTTTTCCAACCAATTGCCTTGGCCTCCATCTCAACCCTTCCACTGTGCCCTGCAGAATCCCAGCTCCATTGTAAACATACCTTCTACTTTGTATCTTCTCCCTAGAATGCCCTTTCACCTCTGTATCAATGAAATATTGATACTGCTTCCTGGCACTCTTTGGTGATTGCAGGCTATTTGTCATCATTAGCTTCACAAACCATGAGACAGGCAAGAAGCATTTCACAATCTCCTACTAGCCCCTATACCATCTTCAAATAATACCTGGCATGAAACTGATACTTCACCCCACTCACATTGAATTGGACACCACATCTTACCAATTCTGCCTCCAACTATGTAGTTCATACCCATCCATTTGTATACATCTTCCACTTCTACCACTCAATCCACGCCAACACCATTAGTCCCTAAACTAAGTAAATGGCCTTCTAAATGGCCTGTCATATCATGTTTAGATTTTTATCATTCATCTGCCACTCAGTAAGATGACTTTTATAAAACTGAAATTGAATCACATCTTTGCCCTGTATAAAACCCTTCAGTGCGTGCCAGAGTGAAACCCATTAATGTGTACAATTAATGTGGTTTAATAATTATAATTTTTAAAAAACCCTTCCATGGATTCCTTTGGAGTTAGGGACTGCTTAGAATGAAGCCTGTGGTTTCTTCTCCCAACCAAATTCCTCTCATTCATTCTCTCTCTCTCACATTGAAAACTACTGTATTGAAACTACTGGTTGAATTCAAGTATGATACATTTGATATACTTTAAGAACTTTTGTAAAGCCACAATGTACACCCATCCAGTACAACAATAAAAGAAAGAAAGAAAGAAAACTACTGGCCTTTACTATTCTCAAACATACTCCCCTCTGAGAGACCAAGATGGCAGATTGCTGTGTAGGCACCACTTTCCTTGAACCAGAAATAAAACCTCAGGTACCTGGCTGCAAGGAGAGGTCAGCAAGTTAGCAAGCCAGGAAAGGGCAATAGTAAAAGGACAAATAGTAGCTAGAGAAAAATCAAAAAAAGAACCAAACTCCAACTAAATATCTAACAGAAACAAAGGGAAAATCTTGCATAGAGGGACCCAGAACTGCCCTCAGATCTACTCCATCCTATGACCATCTTAGCCTGGTTTGGGGGTTTTTTATAACTATTTGGTTTTGTTTTGCTTCTGGCAAGAGCCACCTATGCAAAAAGCTAAGCATAAGTCAAATCCTGGGTCACCACACAGAAGCTGATAAGCATCTGTGCCCCACCACCTGAGACAAAATAAGCAGCCAGTGGGGCAAACCAGTTTCGGTCCTGAAGGCCTCAATACAGGCCAGGTCAGTACAGATGCAAATACATCTTCCCCCTGGAAATAATTTTCAGCTAAGAAAGCTAATTTGATTAAAGAACCTACAACTCAGCTGCATATCAACAAGTGGGTGAAGATACATGAACTTTCCTATAACAAGGTGACCCCTGAGGGTCATTGCTCAGCCAAGCCCAGCAAGCAATCACAAATACATTTGACCCTTGAGAAAATTTTTGGCTAAGCAAGCTCTTTAAAGGTCCCCACACATAGCCCTGGACCAGTGGGTGGATAAAGCTACTTAGTACCTCTGTGTCTAACCCAAAACAAAGAAGAATGTGGAAATGAGAAAGCCAACTAGCTAGAATCCTAAACCTACTGCCTGACCAAGCAGTATAGGTATATACACAAGTGATAGGAGCTATTTCCCCTCTCTCTCCAAATGAAATATTCAACTGGAGGTCTCAGTGGAAAGAGGAAAGTCTCACACAGACAAGCCAGAGCAGCCATTGGGTACTCCAATTAGAGAAAAGTTCAGGCCTCAAGAGCGGCAGAGTGCTTTCTGACCCACTTACTGTGCTCAAGTTTTCCACCACTCATTCCCAATTATTACACATGCCTGGAAACATCCCACTGAATCCTGACACAGCAGTCTCATCCCTGGGAATTGCTACTACTCACCAGGATCTGCCCCACCTAACCCCAGCAGTTACCTTTTATCCATATCTTTAACTGACCACAGAGCAATATTTCCAGGCTGTACCTGGACAATCCAGGGCCCTGAGGGGATAAAAGAGTAAACACATCAGATAGAAATCAGAGAATCAAAGATTAGTGGAGAACATCCATTGTACTGATAAAGCTCAGCAGACTCTATAATGCTCTTCTCCTACACAAGGAAGAAACATTGACATTTTAAATGTTTAATTCTTTTATATATTGTCATTTTTTTCTCTTTACTTTTTATTTTTACTTTTCCCTTCTGTCGTATACAAACTATTCTGCTGGTGATTTATTCTACCTCCTTCTTTTATTATTCTTAACCTTTCTATCCCTTTGCAATCCCTAATGACACCACCCTTTCTTCACAATAGCTGAACTATATTTCCACATGCTAGAATTTTGTTTACCCACACTCCTCACACTTCACTCCCTTTCTCTCCATCTTCCTAGTCTCTTTCCTTATCCTCTTATTTTTACCACCTAACTTTTAACTCCTATGTAAATAAATTTTATTTTTCTAATCTCCTACTATACCATACAACAACGATTATTCCCCTGCATATATAACATGGTTAGTTGTATAGATAATATTGTCACTGGTATTTTACTTCATGTAAATATCTGGTTTGGTATTAAATTGGTGAGTTTGTTATTGTTGAGTTATATTCCCAGGCCAGTGGTGAGAAATAACCTATCAACTCTGTCACTCCCTAGTTCTGCCAGAATATAGAGAATAATGCAGTGGATAGACTTTGAGCAACTAAAACCCCCAATCAATGAATTGACTTCTGATGAGCAAATCTCAACCTAGAAATGCATGAAATATGCAAAAGTAATACAACATGACATCCCAAAAAAAATGTCAACAATCACACAACAAAGGATCCAAATGATAGTGAAGGGGATTAAATCTCAAATACTGAGCTGAAAAGAATGATGATAAGTATGATTAATGAGATGAAAGAAGACATGTATAGATGCCTCAGTGAAATCAAGGAGAATACAAACAAAAAGCTAAGTAATTTCAAAGAGACACAAATAAACAGCTAAATTAAATAAGGAAGACAATACAAGACATGAAAGGAGAATTCAATAATAGATAGAAATTCTGAAAACATATATATAGGTGACTATGATCAAAGTATATAATATACATGTTGCAAAAATCACAATGAAATCCCTTTGTATAATTAATATGTGCTATTTAAAAAGAAAAAATCAAATTAAAGTTTTGGAAATGAAAATGTCCTTAAATCAAATAAAAAATTCAGTTGAAAGCCCCTCCACCAGTTCAATTAAATGGAAGACAAAATAGCAGGGCCTGAAGACAAAGTAGATGTAATAGAAAAATGAGATAAAGAAAAACACGCTCCCCTCAAAGTTCTCACACATGCTATTCACCTGGCCCAAAGATCTGCAACACTTCTCTCCATCTTTACCTCACATTTACTTGTTTAGAGGAATGAGCTCACCACCTTCCATAGAATGAATTTTTCTAAACCTTCTCACCCATCCCCAAATATTAGTTTCCTTTTTGTAAATTTCTCCCATG